GTGTGTGTGTGTGTGTGTGTGTGTGTGTGCACATATATATATACACACATACACACATGTATATACATACATATACATATACACACACATACGAACATACGCACACGCGCCCATATACACGTGTATATACATATGTACATACATATAAACAAACATACATACATTAATACATACGTACATACATACAAACAAACACATACATTCGTACATACATTCGTACATACATACATACATACGTACGTACGTACATCCATACATTCATATATACATATATTCATACGTACATACATATATACATACATTCACGCACAGATTTATATATATACATATATATATATATATATATATAAGATAGATAGATAGATAGATAGATAGATAGATAGATAGATAGATAGATAGATAGATAGATAGATAGATAGATAGATAGATAGATAGATAGATAGATAGATAGATAGATAGATAGATAGATAGATAGATAGATAGATAGATAGATAGATAGATAGATAGATAGATAGATAGATAGATAGATAGATAGATAGATAGATAGATAGATAGATAGATAGATAGATAGATAGATAGATAGATAGATAGATAGATAGATAGATAGATAGATAGATAGATAGATAGATAGATAGATAGATAGATAGATAGATAGATAGATAGATAGATAGATAGATAGATAGATAGATAGATAGATAGATAGATAGATAGATAGATAGATAGATAGATAGATAGATAGATAGATAGATAGATAGATAGATAGATAGATAGATAGATAGATAGATAGATAGATAGATAGATAGATAGATAGATAGATAGATAGATAGATAGATAGATAGATAGATAGATAGATAGATAGATAGATAGATAGATAGATAGATAGATAGATAGATAGATAGATAGATAGATAGATAGATAGATAGATAGATAGATAGATAGATAGATAGATAGATAGATAGATAGATAGATAGATAGATAGATAGATAGATAGATAGATAGATAGATAGATAGATAGATAGATAGATAGATAGATAGATAGATAGATAGATAGATAGATAGATAGATAGATAGATAGATAGATAGATAGATAGATAGATAGATAGATAGATAGATAGATAGATAGATAGATAGATAGATAGATAGATAGATAGATAGATAGATAGATAGATAGATAGATAGATAGATAGATAGATAGATAGATAGATAGATAGATAGATAGATAGATAGATAGATAGATAGATAGATAGATAGATAGATAGATAGATAGATAGATAGATAGATAGATAGATAGATAGATAGATAGATAGATAGGTAGAGATATAGAAAATCGTTTTGCATATGGCAATTACACGTGTTCCTAAAAAAATTTGCAAATACAAAATAGCTTTCACACATTGCGTGGGCACATTAATCTCGTTACTGGATTTTAATACTGTAATAATTTCGAACGAATTCCTAGAAACTTGCTATTAGAATGCTATTTTAAAATAATTCCCTAAAGATATATGCTCCGGATGACTTACTCGAATGCCTTATCGAAATAGTTGAGACGTTGCTTTACCCTGTATTGCAATCTTTCAGTAATTTTGCAAGATAGGTACGCCCCTAAAAATGTAAGCTCTGCTTCAATTAATGGTGAACGGACTTTGCTAGGGCTTTGCTCGATCATAAACTTGTGTGACCCTTCTGCCTGTCGTCTGGCACATCTAGTTTCGTGTCTTGTGTTGCTTGCTGTTTGTATTTTTATTTTATTTTTATTTTTTATTCACACTGACGTCCAGTTGTTTTCCAGCGGTTTCTTTCTTTCTTCTTTCCTTCCATTATAGAAGCAATTATATTGTACTCATCATCGTTCAGAGTTTCAAGCAGATTAATTCATGTCAGTCGAATATATGGCGCCAGTGTGAATTTATTTCAACTCCTCGAGCCAGTGTTTTTTGTCTTCGTAGAAATCATACTTGATCTCGATCCTGCTTATCACTGCATTTGGTTTTCTGCTGCTCACTTATTCTGTCATTTGAAATTTAGCTTCTTTACGCTTCACAAAGTTGGAAAGTTATTGATAAAAGTTTTAGCTAGATTGTGTGTACTTGGCTTGAGGAGCTATTCGTACCATAATCCGCGGCATCGTATTAAATAAAAGATTGTATGATAATCAACTTTCGATATTTACCTTTGCCTCGTCGATGACCACTAGGAGGTGGTTCTCGAGGTGGAGGAGGTTCTCGAGGTGGAGGAGGCGGTCCTCTCACTCCTGGTCCTTGACTTTGACCAGGAGGCCTTCTACTTCCTGGAGGAAGTTGTCCTTGTGGCGGCTGATCAGTTGCTTCTGTGAGGAAATTGCTTGGAACTAAGCCACATAGTCCATTTAATTCGCCCATGTAGAATCCATCGCCGTCTAGATCACCGTAGACATAGATCTCATTCCCACTTCGGAATGCCAGTTCCACTTGCTACGGGACCAACGTGCGTTAATAAATATATAAGTTTCTCTATGACACGCAAATTTCATTTGTTAAACAACTCACAGAATCAACATTGGGGGACAGTTCGTTAGGATCGTAGTCGAAGAGTGCTATCATCTTCTTCACTGGCATATTAGCGTAAATATCTCCCCATCTGCTTCTCCTTCCTGGTTGTCCTTGTACAGGTTGATTCGGATCTTTAATTTCTTCAACCATATTCGAAGGAACGTATCCACGCCTACCATGACATTCTCCCCAATAAAATCCATCCGGGCCTTTCTCGCCGTACACCTGCCAGTTTAATTTATAAGCCAAAATTTTATGAAATACGCGATGAACTAGAAAATCAGATGAAAAATACAAAAATCATTAATAAAGACCTTGATGGTGTCGTTTTGAGAGAAAGATAGTTCGTCTTCACAGGCATCTGAATAAGGTGACATTCTTTTGGGATCATAATCGAACAGAGCCACGAACCAACGTGTTCTTTTATTCATTTGACTGCTCGATGGATGGCCGGCACCACCTTGAGCTTGCGTTCCTCGTGCACCACGGTATGCAGATGGTCTACCTCTTTGATTTCCTATGCGAATAGAAAGTGCAAAGAGAAGGTAACATGAACACATGGCAATAAACCGTTATGCTTAAATATGTATACGAACCTGGTTGGTCATAGTAAGGATCTTGAGGTCTACCAGCAGGAACACCCATTCTTCCGGGTCGATGGGTTCCAGGAAGTCCTTGCTGTCCCATTTGTGGTCCATATCGATGCTGACCACCATGATGCAGTGGCATCCCTCTACTTCTACGCGAGGGATCATCTTCTTCGCTGTAATTCGCTTCGCTTGCCGAATCCTTGGTAATCTCTGGAACTCCTGAGCGACAGTAGCAATACGTACAGAATCTCAGACGTTTCAACTGACAGTTTTAAATAATGGAGAACGGTGTTTTAACGTAATACCTCAAATATTTTGAAAATAAACGATTAAAGAGTAAAAGAATCAGTCCGATTTATAAGAAGAGCCCTTACCCATTTGGGACATGCTTTGTCCAGGATAAATTTCTTTATCGGATAAATTTTCATCAGTCTCAATGATAACTTGGCCGTGTGCATCGACTCTATTTCCGTATCTTCTTATGTGAGAAGGTACAGGAGTCGATGGATATCTTTGATCTACACCGCCTATGCGATGTCTATTCGGATCATCCGTTTGCCCGGTATTAGAAGGTTGCGGTTGTCCTTGATCTTGCATATGCGTAGATCCATGTTGCAAATGAGTTGCAGTTCCACCACGAAGAACGCTACAAGGAATGGCGGTAGCACAGCTATCGCCGGATTGACTTTCCCTGCTTTTTGTCCTGACCGTGATGTGTTTCGGATTCAAACCCATAAGTTTATGTATATCCACTAGAGCGTGGTCACCAGTGGGGCTGTCTACGTCGGTGACCTTCTTCCCATCGGCGTACACCGCGTAACCGGTGACGGCCGAACCGTTTAGGGCAACAGGCTGCCAGGTCACTAGCAAAGTGCCGTCCTGCGGTCCAGCCTCCACCTGTCGTAAATATCATATGATTATTTGTTGTATGTCGAACAAACATAATGTAACAAAAGACATTAGAACAACTGTTAACCTGGATATCGACCGGAGGGTCAGGTAATCCTTTAGGTAACGTTTTGAAATGGACGTGACAAGCTAAATTGTTTGCCGCTTGAGTGTTTTGGTCCTCGAAGTGTGTTGCTCTCAGATTCTTCGCTTTAACAGTCACCCTATAAATTGTCGAGGGTGCTAAACCGATAATTGTGTGTCTGTAAACACCAGGCTTGACCGTTCTAACTTCGACGTTATTCACGCAAACCACATGTTGGTGATTGCTATTGCTCGGCATCCAAGATATGACAGCACTGGTAGCCGTAACATTTGATGCCTTGACAGCAGTTGGGCCCAAGGCAACGTCCTTACCAATTACCATCGTGCAAGCGGCATCGCGAGACGTTCTCCTCGAGTGCGTCACTGAACGTACACTTATTCTGTGTGGCTACATTGTCAATAAAAAGAAGTCAAATAACCTGATAAGCTTTTACATTCATTTGTGTACATTGCTATACAACAGGTCTTACGAGTTTTTACGAAAAAAGATCGTATTAAGTGGCACGAAACATTCTGTAGTCTATTTTATGAAAGATAATGACTCTTTCCTTCTGTAAAGTTTGCTAATTTCGACACGTTGCAAGATATACTATTTTATGAAATAAAAATTTATTTTTTGTACGAACCCTAGTTGAATCAACTCCTTCAACCAATGCTCTGGTTCTCTCGGTTGCTTTCACGGTAACCTTCAATACCCCATCCACGTAGACGTGATACGATTCCAACTGGTGAGTATTCTCCGGTGCTGTCCAACCGATTAAGACGCTCTTGTTCAACTGCCGCTCGAGAGTGAGGTGCTGCGGCGCCGGAACTAGGTCCGAAAACAGGTAGACTTCTTCAGGAAAAAAAGACAAGACAAGCCTAGCTATAGCTAAAAATCTTTCACTATCTAATTCTCTAAGCCAGCCTAAGACCATCCAATATTTAACACAGTGCAAGATTCCGTTTATATTGTTCATCAATTATTTACCTCTGCTCTCAAACACAAGAGACCATTCTTTAACTGCTACCAAATTTTAGTAACATGCATTTGTTCTACTTTCGAGGATTAATCAAACGACTAAATGGCAAATCAAACGAAAACAAAAAAACAAGCAGAATTAACAAATATTGTTTTATGTACGTATACCTTATTGAATGGTACGAGGTGTTATCGAAAAGGAACATTCTAGATTTTGAGAAGAGCTGTATGAAGACATGTTGGAACAAGAAAACTCAATAATATAATGGTATCCTAAGTTTGACATTGATCAATATATTAATGTTTAAGTTACAAACTAACAATTATTAGAAATAATTAACGTTTTGCTAAGATATCGACCAAGCATAGAACATTTAAAACACTTAACACTTTGAATTCATTAAATTAATACTAGTTTAACATTCTATCATCTAAATTCAATTACACTACAACTATCTACACTCATGTTCATTATAGAGAATTACATATTCGTAATTTTAACATTATTTATACTAGCACATGTATATCTACTGCATGCTTCATAACAAAAAATTAAATAAGTAATACGAAAACGTACTAACCTGGTGGTTCTTGTTCATCCTCTTCTGCTATATTATCAAGTTCTGCGTACGCAGATAGTTCAGCTTGTCGATTTCGATTTCCTTCTTCCAGAGCCGCTAACTCGAGATCAATATCCTGTAGGTGACACTAGAGATAGAAACCAGAATCCTAATTAGCAATGACTTATAAGAGAAATATAAATTAAATTTATAGTCTAATCTTACATTGCTCACTTGGGGTATGTTGGTCGAAGCAGAATCGTCGACGTCCCTGAGACCAAGGACAGCTTGATGAAATTCTAATAAGTCATCGCCGACTAATTTTTGAACGAAATTAGCTGGAACGAGGCCACGCCTGCCGTCAAGAGTTTCTGCATCAAGAAAACCATCTTCGTCTGGTTGTCCCCAAACAAGAAGATAATCTCCACCCTGAACAGGCAACTCTGCTTCTGGATTTTCGTTTGGCGAATGCTGAAATGGCTCGTAAGTAAAACGAGCAATATAGATGTAACATCTCCCTTTGCCAGGTACATCCAACATATCTACTTGACCCTCGGTTACGATATTGTCATTGGTCAGTCGATCTAGGGGATTAGATAGTATACTACTGGGTATCTTTGGCATCTGTCTTGAACCAAGGAAATGATGACCCGTCGTAGCAGGTGCTGTGGGTGAACTGGCGCGTAAACTTTGTTGAATCTGCTGGATAATAGCTTGTTGTTGCAGCTGATTGGCTTGAGATTGCGCAGAAAGTTGTTGCATTGCTTGAAGAGGGTCGCTTATCGCTTGTAATAAGCCTGTTGATGTGGTTCCTATAAAAAAATAAAAGAAATAGAATATATTCGTTGTCGCAAGGTTAAACGACAAACAAAGAATTTCTAAGGAAACAAGTTTTTATACCTGAGCTCACACCTGACGTGCCAAAAGCATTGGTCCCGACGGTTGAATAGGTCGATCCGCTAGTGGCGAAACTGCTCTGTACGCTCGAGAAGGGTAGAGCGGTTTGAGGTACACTGGTAAGTGCGCCCAGAGTAGAATGAAAGGAAGTTGTTGAATAGGGTGGCAATGAGGACAATGTGGTTTGTGGGATGCTTGTCTGTGGAACGGAAAAGTTGTGATGCGATAGTTGAGTACTAAAGCTACTCGCTCCTGTACTATAAGTTCCATTTGGATGTGAAGTAATGGACAAACTTGGATATGTCGTTGCCTACAGATATAAATCAATGTTAATTCATAAATCAAAATTCAATTATAATTACGACATAATTTCGTATGATCTAAAATCGAATGAATTTTTTCACACCTGCTGATTTCCATTCAACTGGAAACTTTGACCAGTCTGTGTGGGCTGCGAATAATGAGGTATTATGTTTTGGCTCGATGACGTCAGGTACGTTGTAGAAGCCGGATGTTGCGGCTGTTGCTGTTGTTGCTGCTGAAGCGGCTGCTGATAGGTTTGCGTATGTGGATAACTTTCCTGATACTGATTACTCGTATAATGGGTGTGCGTTTGTTGTTGCTTCTGCTGTGTCTGCAGAACACTTTGAGAGTGAGAGCTCTGTAACTCGGTATGGGTTGGTTGTGGTTGCTGATACTGTTGTAACTTTTGTTGGAAAGCAGGTTGTGATTGACTGGTGGAGAGCGACGGCGCTGGTGGAATTGGTTCACTGTAGTGATATGGCGGTCCATTCGGAGTCAATGGCGGACAGCCAGGCATCATTGGCGTTAAGGGCATAGGTGAACCTGTATACTGTTTCAAATTCTTGCTCAAAGCATTTTCATTTTACGAGAAACAAAGATATAAGGCTCAAGAAACAGAGAAAAAGAGATAGTTTCATAGTAATATCGAATCAAAAACAATTATTTACATACGTGACTTATCTGTGTTGGCATTCCTAGACTCAGAGCATGTGGATGAGGTGGATGTTGACTGAGATTGGGAAGGTTTTCCGAACTGGATCGCAGAATACTCTGTGTAGCTGAGGGTTGTTGCGTGGTAATGGATCCTCGAGTATGATCCAAATCATGTACCATTCTACTAGCGCTATGTCGATAAGAATTAAACAGAATTAATCAATAATCGAGTGATATTACGAAAAATTGATGGTAAAATATCAATTGTACGGAAGTGAAGTATACAAGCATGTTTTAAAATTAGAATATTAATAGGATACGATATTAAAAAACACACCTATTGTCTTGTTCTATCTTTGCTATTATTCTGTCGATTTCAGAACCAGTTGGTGGCCAAGTAGTTAAAATCGTCGAATGGCCCACCATTGGCACTCTGCCTCGTGCACGTCTCAGACTTGTTAGTTCCAAAGACAATTCTTCATGTCTGACCATTTGTAACTCTGTCTTTTTTTCAAGTTCCCTTATCTTTGACTGTAGTGCTTCCACCGATTCCGGGCCTTGATATCGTCCTGCTATCTTTTCGCGTAGCTGATTCTGTGCTTCTGCATGTTGGCGTTCCAGTTCCGCTTTTCGAGCTTCAGTTTCACGCATTTGCTGGAAACACCATAAAATATCACCGATAACAATAACTTTCCTTCCGAAACATTATATAAAATTAAAATTTACTTAATAAATCTTATTGAAAAATTTTAGTACGAAATCTCAATCTTATTCTTAAAAACAAATTTTTTATTGAATCGTCAAGAGAAATTTAAGCAACGAAACAACATAAAATACTTGATAAGAATAACTCGTTATTAATCATAGATATTCGTCAATAATTGTAAAAGGTATGTACCATATCTGAAAAACACCACCGTCAAGTTATGTTTAATATTTATAGCTGAAGATAGCTAACCATCTTTAATAACCTGGAGGGATGCCTGGTTGGGAGTATGATCCATGACAAGAATCATCCGTGCGACATTAATAATGAAAGAAGGCTTTGTATTCTGAATGCCTCGGAGGCAGGTACAATCGAACTTACTCGACACAAACTTGTTTGCTCGTTCTACCAAAGACTGCTTAACGTTAAAAAACAATGGTACCGAAAATGGAGAGTCGCAAGATTGCTAAAACGCTACTACAGGTTATCCTTTTAATTAAAACGAATCTTTCGCGCCCTGTTCAAAATTCGCTTAGGACATCAATATTTATCGGCTGACGAACACCTCGTTGATACGCTTCTGTACACCCTCGAAAACGATCGTAATCACGTGATACGTGTTATAACACATGATTATTACGTGCACATTATTTTTATACGTAATATCTAACTGTTTCCATTTTATTTTCACGATAAAACTAACATTTTTACAATGCACGAATTATCCTTCAAATTTCAAATTTCAAATTTCAAATTAATTTAATACGATCAAATTATGCTATCGCTGTGAGCAATCGTTATAAACAAAAGAAGCCTGAAATAGAAGAAAATACAAGCAATATACTATTTCAAGGATGAAAAGGTAAAGAAAAATATAATAAAAATTGGGAAATTTTAAAGTTCATGAAACTCACCTCGAGGATGGATTCAAGAACTGCGTCCTGCATGATGGTGGTTTTCGTGGAGGTGGTAATCCCGACAGCAGATCCGGTATCCTGCAGCTGCGGAGCCTGAGGTGCCGTGGAAGCGCCACCTCCAACACCACAGCACTGCAACATCCCTGAAGTCTGAAACCCTCGCCCGTCTTTATCACGGCCAGTCCCTATCGATCTACCGTGTATCTAGGAGCTATCTTAATTAATTGGCGGCTTTTGCGGGGCCTGCCAGGCTGCACACGACGATCCCACGATTAGGTGTACAATTCTCTGGATGCGAAAAGGAATTCTTTTTTCATTGTGCCCCACGATGCCCCCCGCCCCCAGGCGTAAATCAACTGAAAATAGTCGAATACTACCCTCACACGTATAACCGTGAAAAAAGATACTTTTCGCATTTAATCCTCTGTATAGCATAGCAAAAATAGTCACTATGTATCGTACTATTTTACAATAATTTCCCTCTCTCGTTAAACAATCGATCAATCGACGACATATTACGGACTGATATACAGAAGATTAAACGGAAACCAGAATCAGCATGCCACATACATCGCGCTCTACACAAAACACGATAACGTCGCAACGAATTCTGTGGTAATGACACGTGGAAGGTGCGCGTGAAACCCAATTGTCGCGTCACACGTACAGTTTTAAAAACGATCGACATGTGTAAACTGCAGTTGCGCGAGCTCAATTACAAATTACCAATAACACTGTCCTCTAAATGGGAGAAATTCAATCAACGGGATTACTGGCAACAGGTTCTTCGGGATGTTTCGATCGAAATATACCGGATACGATCAAAAGTTGCTCTTTATTCCATTTACTTTGTATTCAATTGCAGTAACGTCAGTATTTGTAGTAAATCTATAGACGAGTTGATTGGTATGTCTTTTCTATGAAAGTGAAATTCTTTAAAAAGGAAGAAGATCGTTTCTTCGAGATAGGAATCGCGTGAATCAAAGCTCATTAACTGTCCATGAATTATTTTCAACACGAATGCACTTAAGCGGAGAAAAATTGACTTCGCACGTGCATGTGCAATTACTATATTCCCAGTTGTAACGGAAACTCTATTCTCTAAATACGATTATCAAAAAATTTATTCACGCTTGCATTCTTTTCTTTTATTTCAGTTTTAAAGTATGATGTATTTGTTTTCGCGTTTCAAATTATTGAAATATCGAACGATCAACAATTTGTTGCATTCCAAACTACCACGTTTAAGTAATCCAATAGGTTTCTTTCTTACATCATTGTTGAGAAATATGTTGGTCGGAGCTTAAATTTTGCTGACGGGATGACGAAGTATTATCGTTAATTACAAAGAATACCCCGAATGTTGCGATGAATAAATGTCAAGTTCGGTAGAAATAAAAAAATATATGATCGATCGTATGATAGTTTTGCCTTAAAACATAAAACGTAATGAAACGTTACGCAAGTTAAAAACGAAAGGAAACCATTTATCGGCAGATTTAACGAAAGAAGTAACTAACATTATGTTCATCAATATCCCCGATTAGTATATTAATCTATTTTCGTATCATTTACACTTTGCAATATGTTCAATTTCAATCTAACTCCATACGGTATGAATTATCTTCTGGATCAACTTGAATAAAAGTAACCGTATGCCTTGTTTGATTATGCGATAAAAAAACATGTACCAGGAAGAAAGAAGTATCTAAACGTGGCTTAAATTCGCGAATGGAAAAATATCTATATTATTTCATAAAGAGAATGCATCTTGTTCTCGAAACCGAAAACTAATTTTCGCTGAGGCATTTATTTAATCCGAACACGACACTAGCAGCTCAATTTCGCCGATTTTACCACCACGCTCGAGCGATCCAATCGTTATCAGACAGGACATTTTAATCCAGTAAAGAATTTCCAGCCCAAGTATAATAGTAAGACGTAAAATATCGCGTTCGATATCTGGTTACGATATACACCGAATTCACTGTCCTCTTATTTTACCATTTCTGCAATTATCTAATACTACTCGATAAAATTATTTGCCTTCAAGAAAAATTTGTTCGTGTATCACAGCGCTCCAATTAAATGATGCAATCTGTTAAGGATACGAGAAGCACACTTGATATTACAAATATCTACCAATTACTGTGATCGAACATCATCTTAAGAAGATTCTTTATCCGTAAAGAAATATGTCCCAGATTGCTCGTGATACGCAAGTCTAATAGAAACGAAAAGGGTAAAGTGCACGAGTTAACGATAAAAAAGGAAATACCAAAATTATATTTATCCAATAAGAAAAGGGAAATTTTTTAAATGCTACGCGTTAGGGGATGAAAATAAAGGCTAACGATTAATCCGAGTACGACACATAGAAGAAGCGAAATATGCAAGAAACTGGAGGATGGAAAGGGACAAGACTGAAAGAAAGAGGATAGAATGAAGCTAATGGACACCGGTACACGCATAGAAATATGTCGAAAAAACGGACCAACGACTTTCAAAGCAAAGACGCTTGTTTTTAAGCTGCTTGAGACGTGATAAAAAATTCAGAAAGGAAACAAATGAAAGTGACCTCTCGACATTCGGTTGCTGGAAAAGGAATGGTCGGGGGTGGTAGTTAAATAGAGGGAACAAGGAAGGAGAGATTCAGAATGAGTTTCCGTCTATGAGCACGGGTCGAGTGGCACGGCACTGCTTATTGATCTCACTACCAATGGTACGTAGTATACATATACACCCGGTGCGCACGGGACACCACTGCACGACGATACGTAATTCATCCACTATCACTATGAACTGCCTATTGCTATCACCACGAGTAGCAGCGATGATGACACAACTAGAAGAACCCTTCGATACGTTCCTTTGCGATACTCATCGTATGGATGACAACTGTGCCATTACTGTCGTCTCCATTTCCTCACTGACACTGTTCTTACGTTATTCCCTTCACTAGGTCATGTTTTTGATTCTTCTCCATTTTGTTATTCATTTAGTTACAATAGAAAAATATATTCATTCTCCTGAATGTTGCAATGGTACCGTAAAGAAATGTTTTACATTTCGTTCTCAGTAATTCATAACAAATTCGAGCGCAAAATGTTTTTCACTCACGTTTATAAGACCTCTAGGAAAGCTTCAGCTTCGACACTTTAATAGTTGCACTCGAGACTTATATATCGCCATAATAAATTTTTCTCCGTTTTTTAAGCAAAAATACATAAGCACATACCCTTCCAATTTCTCTCTCTCTCTCTCTCTCTCTCTCTCTCTCTCTCTCTCTTTCTCTCCCTCTCTCGTGCACTCTTTCTCTCCTCTCTCTCTCTCTCTCTCTCTCTCATCTATCCCTCTCTCGCTCTCCTTTTTCTTTCCCTTATTTTTCAATCAAAGCTAACGAACCTTTTTTTCCTTTTTTTCTCTCTATCATTCAATCTTACACAATCTCTCCTATTGGCTTGTTCACGATTTTGCTTGCGTTTCTGTCACGGGATGCACGACACTTACGATAACCGAGTCGAAGGGATTGTGGCAGGCCAGGGCTGCTGCTGCTGATGAGCGAACTTCACGGGACTCGCGAGCTTTTTCACTCGGCTATCATCCCGTACAAGCCCCAAGATCTGCTCGGCCGTGGAAGGCAGGCGGCAGGGCTGCTAGAAATCGGGGGAGGAGGTATATTCGCTCGTCCACCGGAGAAAGGGGCAACGAGTGGGGGTAGACACGGCTCTGGGGGGAGTACGGTTACTTAGAGGGGATAGAGAACCGGGAAAAAGAGAGAAAGAGAGAGAGAGGCGGTAGCGAGGGGTGCTGTCGCTGGAAAAGCAGCCAGGGGTAGGAACTCCCGTCACCACCAGATATGGGTCACTTTACGATCGATACCGATATAGAACCCCTTCGCAGCTAGGGATCACGAGCGATCGCTTACGTCATTTCTACCCTAATATAGCATTCTAACCTACGGTTGCTACTCATCATCTTTTCTGTTCTTTTACGGAATAAACAGTGTCTTTCAACGATATTAATCTAATGCAGTATTTTCTAATGACTATTGAATTAAGTGCAATTTAAAAGACTGTAATTTCAGTCGAGCTAAATCAGACATGGCGTACCTCAACAGCCTAAGTTGAAAACCCACGATACACCCTGGAAGTCTAGTGACTTTACAGAATGATTCGTCTCGTAGCTACATGAGGGTATAGCTTTCACAAAAGACCAATCAATACGCGCGAGACAATCCACCAATCTTTCCCTCTCCTTTTACTCCTTCAACTTTCTTTCTTTCTCGTTCTTCTTCTCTATCTTTTACAGTTTCCTTGTCACTCCTTCCCCTTCTGACTTACCCCTCCGACATCTTCTCTCTCTCTTTCTCTCTCTTTCCATCCATTTACCTAGTGTGCCTACATCCATCTACACTCCACCTCTCTGAATCTATTTTCTCTCTTCATTCGTCATTCCATGTACTTGCCATCCATTTCGTTTTATTTTTCAATGACACAAACACGATCTAAAATGAACGAAAAAATGAGAAAAATCCAAACTATCGTGGTATCAAAAGATTTGGAAGATTCATGAAAATGTTGAGCCATTAATTACTGAAATTTTTGTCTTCCATTTTCCTATCTTTCTCATCTTTGAGATCCAATACGATAGTCCAATACAACACTGGAACCGTAGATTATTCTTCTCGAAAACCATTGTACTTACATAACTAACACAGTAATCGTATTAAGCTTCTTAGATTTATATTATATATTTTATAGGACATTATTTCAGATTATTATATATATTTGCAATCTATAATAATTGTATGTAAAATTGTGAATAATGTGCAATATATATAACATGAAATTATTAATATTTATATTCAAATATTAAATTGCTACCATATTATATGAAGATATCGCAATTGATTTACGTAGTTAGTGTCCAGTGGAAAAAATGTCGGGGCAAGAACCGCGTGATAGGCACGGCCCTGATAGAAGCGCAGGCGTCCGTGCGATTGAGTGACGTCACGAGTCTAAGGCACGGGGCGTTATACGCTTATCAATGAACGTACGACGCCTACGGCGGATACTTGTTTTCTAGTGACTAACACCCTCCCTTGCCCGCTCTTCACCTTCTGCACCCCATACGTTCCGTCCTTCGTTCGGTTACGCCTTTATAGCCGACCAAACACCAACTCTTTCTATCTTTTCCTATAGGCATCCACCATGCACCCCTTCAATCACTATATTTCGATTTTGTCGGTGTTCCTCCCTCCTACGCGAATATACGTCTTTCTCATTGAGTAATTTGACCTCGAATCGACTGCATGCTGCGATTTACACCTCAATTGGATGAGATCGAACTTGTTTCTCATACGAAATTTATGTAGATGAACTTAAACTTTTCTACAAACGTATAATTTTTGTAATAAAAGTACGCGTAATGTTTTTAAATTATGGATTAAATTATATTATTTACTTTCTTAATATTAACAAATTTTTATTTTATAATGATTCTTAATCAAATACGAAGTGATGTTCGAAAAATTTCACGAAAAAAAGAGTACATACCTTCAGTATTGCATCACTATATACTACTTCGACATCAAACATATCGCGTATCTCGCGAATAGATTTTTAAAAGGGCAATTCTTTAATTCTTGAACAATATTAAGAAGTCATAGTTAGTTCTTGAACGAATTAAAGGATGGACATTTATACCTCCATCTTTTGTTCTCTTTTATTGTTTGAAAATTATGTTAACGCATAAATTTTTGAAACTTTCTGCAATAAATTTAATATTTTATTATATTGTGTGGAAATATGTGTATGTTATACTAACTTTCTTGAATAAATTTTCTACTACCATCGTAGAAACTTTTTAATATTATTGTATATGATGTTTACAGGTACGTGTCTTTTTTAGAAACGTATATAATTATATCAATTAACTCAACTTTCACTCGCATCAGTTGACTTTTTTACTTCTTCCTATCTTTTCTGTCTAATTTATTCGAACCTTTCTTCATTTCTTTCCTTTTCTTATGCTTCGGTATTTATCTCTTTTCGTGTATCAATACAGTTTGTAAAGTTGTCAATAACAGAGTGCTTATATGATAAAACTAGATACCTACATTTATATAATTTTAACATGTACTTGCTCCATTCCAGGCAACATCAGAAACTGAACTTTCATTGTTTAAATCGTAGTCAAAGCATTGTTATTTTCAATATCGTATAAACGTATATTTACACTAAACAAACAAAATAATATCATGAAACATGCTTTTCAATATCAAAATGTATGTTAAGATTTATTAACTATTGAGAATAAAATGATGTATAGTAACATTTAAAATTGTCAAATATTTTTAAAACATTTGCTAATAAATAATACATACCGATAAAAGAAGCAAATTTTATGACCTTTCTTTTTACAAGAAAAACTTTAAAACGTTTTGTGAATACGGACTATTGCAAACTGTACTTGCGCGATTGGATACCCTACATCATGACGTACGTCCTGTAACGTCCTGACCATTTCGTGTCCTTTTCTGATTCGACGGCGCCAAAGTATCGCATTTGCTTCACCTGTATTTTACCAAGCTACATATATTCGTACTGTAACATTTGAGGTTAGTTTCGAGCAATAATCAGAGGGAAACACTGTCTACCCATATAATCATTATACTCTTTTTATGTGGCAGAAAAACGTTTCTCTTCCCTTAGTTACATTTACGTAACATTGGCTGGCAACCTTATTAAAGTGTATGCTAATCAAAAAAGTAATTCGTATATAACGCGCATCTCATAAAAGTCCAAAGTAATCTGTTCTCAGTTAGGGAGGGAAAACATTTAGAAAGTTATTCGTAGATTCTTATCGATTGTAATATGCTTCCATCAATTGTAATACTTCTTATTATTGGAATTGCGGCTGCCGAAGACTGCAAAGGATGTGTTTCTCTGGATTCTTATTCTTTTGATAAGGTATTTTAATTTTCGTAAATATATGTAGTTTTTGACAGAAGTACAAATTTTTCTTCTTGAATTTTATTTATTTTACATAAAAAGTGTAATATAGTCATTTAAAGATAAAAAAATAGTTTGTTTTTAATATTATATTGTTTTCTTTAACTTATCCGCTAGATAATTTGTTTTTACGGTTATAAGGCGCTTAACTATTGTAGATATACTATACTCATAGTGTAGAATATAAAAATTTATATAACAAAAAGGATATGTATAAATAAACATGAAGACATAAATATATTTTTACGTACTAAAATTATTATTTTTATTAACGAAAGGTTTTACAAATCTGTTATTAATTTATAGACATACCAATATTATTATGCAAGTTCTGATATATGTAAATATGTTGAAATATATTGCTAAAAAATATTTAATGCTTGAATAATAAGTAAATTGTTCATAATTTAGGTAATACCGAAATTTAAAGCTGCAGTTGTTAAGTTTGATGTGGCATTTCCGTATGGAGAAAAACACGAACAATATGCACAAATAGCTGCAGCCACAAAAGATTCTCATGATCTATTGGTAGCTGAAGTGAGAGTGAAGGATTACGGCAATAAAGATAATTCTGATCTCGCCGCTCGTTATAAAATAAAGCCCGAAACTTTTCCCTCCGTTATTTTATTCCTTCAAGGAAAAACAGAACCTATTCCATTTGTTGCGGACAAAAAAACTGATTTTTCCGCGGATAATATTAAGCGATTTATTAAAATGAAGTCTGGAGTATATCTTGGCCTACCTGGTTGTGTAGAACAATTAGACAGACTTGCAGAGGAATTCAGGACTAGCGGAGAAACGGAAAGAAAGGTAGTATTATATAAATAACATAATTTATAGTATTATAAAAATGTTTACATATAATTATCTTTTATTTCATAGGAAATATTAAACAAAGCTAAAATCTTTGAGGAAACTCTGCCCGAAACACAACGCGTAGCCGCAAAAGTTTATGTTAAAACTATGGAAAGAATATTAGAAAGAGGAGAAATCTTTGTTCAAACAGAACAAACGAGAATAGAGGGTATATTGAAAGGGAAACTATCAAATGAAAAGAAACGCACAATGGAAGAAAAACGTAATATCCTCCATTCTTTCTTATACAGAGATGAATTATAAAAGAATTGTGATACAGTATTATAAATTTTGTTATGTGTACTTTTGTAAAAATAGTATCATTATAAAATTGAACATTCCTGATCATTTTTGGTCAAATATCTTATAACTCATCTTTTATAATTTAAAATGAAGATAAAAATCATCAATCTTTGCTTTAAACATTCCAACATTTCAGACTGCAATTTATATAAATGTGAAAAGATTAGAAAAATGTTTAAAAGAAATAAAATATAACAAAAAAGAAAAAGTCAATTTTTTTAATAAAGATAATGCTCCCCTAAGCATCCAAATTTTTATATTTTTTTTTCAATTTTTATATTGAAATATAAGAACATATAGAAACATATATTATAAAAAGAGAAGTATTTTAAGTGAGTATTATAACTGAGTAAAATTGCAGTTGAATAAATTTCTATATAGACGAAATTAAACAGTTGTTCTACTTCTTAATTTCTTATTCTCGTTGAATTTAACGTGTGTTAATTTTCTCATTACAGTATAAATGCTAAAATATTCTCCATTAAGAAATCACAGATAACATATAACGATCGTATAAATATTGTCTTATTTATAAATTGAAAATTTGTTTAACCTGTCTATTAACTATGTTGCTAAAATATTTTTCTACATTAGATTCAATGATCAAATACTTAAGCATATGCATGCATGTATGATTATATTGGAATGTGCACTTATTGTTAACACCTCTAATTCATGGAGATGTATGTCTTTATTTTGTTTCTTCCACATCCTGAACTTGTAATTGTTCAAGTTCTTTAGATATTTTGTCCATATTTCCTTCATCCTTCATTTGTTTCTCAGAAGTTTCCACATTTTCAATTTCTGCTGTCAATTTGTTAGCTTGTTCTTTATTATCAGTACTTTCACTATAACTTACATCACTAGAAGGTTCACTATCACTCTCAATTTGTTTTTCTTCCATATTATTTTTTCCAGCATATATTTCACATTCAGAGCCCACTATCTTCTTTGCTTTTTCAAAAGCTTCTTTCCAAACAGTTGCATCTGTAATAAAATGTACCATTAATAATTGATATTTAAAATTTTATTTATATATATCCACTTATTAATAACATATTTACTTTCTGCATTTGCAAATCTTATGGCAAGTAATTCTGGCTTAAGCTGTTCATCTGCATAATCAGCAAGTACACTCCATACCCATGCTCTATCACTACCACAATTGGGTTTCAATTCCATCCATGGAGTTACAAAATGATTAGCACAGATTTTAAGTGTTTTATCTCTACGCATTACAACCCTTACAGTATTTTTTGTTTTATGTCTTAATAATTTCACCTCCCCTGTACCACGCTCTTTCCATTCTGCAGGATTATTAGAAGAATCATAACGATACAACTTTGCCCTCCTACAAATTAAACAATATAAATACCTCATAAAATTAATAATACATATAGTAATATCTCTTAATAAATTACATTTTTATCATTTCAACTTCATCTTCTTCGTTGTTGGATACTTCTATTAATGGCAATGAAATTATTGGTTCGAAATGTACATCTGCTTCATTATTGTCTTCATCATTGTCTTGAGTTTCACAATTAACATTCTTTACCTCAACATGATCTCCATTTAGCTATATATGAACATAACATAATTTACAGCTGACTAAGAAAATATAAAAAATTATTTAACCAAAAATATTAACTGCATTAATTTCATTTAATTAAAATAAAACATTTTTTAAATAATTACAAAAATTTGTAATTCATATATTGTGTTTTGTTTCTAAATGGACGCAACAATATAACCTATAGCGTCATTTACGATATTTTAAATAAATCATAATAAAAATGCTTATTAATACATAAATTAATAATATTGTAGAATTATAAAAATAAATATTATATTTACCACGTTTTCTGGCATTTTTTATTAATCTTATAAAAGAAATTTTGTACTCGCTTATCAAATACCGCCAACTTCGACCTATTTGATAGCAAATCGTGATATTGTATGATAGACCTCCATGGTAATTTATAGATATATGTTTTAAGATGCTAACTATGTTGCCATACATGTTCCTTATTAAAGAAGAATTACAGTCCGGAAAATTAAAAAATTAATTAATAATTAAAATAAAATTATTTACGAATGCATCATTCACCAATTTATTAAAATAAATAAATTTCAAAAAATAAAATAACTTTAAATGATTTAGGGAATTTAACTATCAATATGTTTCTGACGAAATTTCCCTATGTTATATAGATACGCAGCCCAGTATAGTTTCATTTAGTTTATGTTCATTTAAAATAGTGATTATTTTATGTATTTAATTGTTGCATCGAATGACTAATTAATATTCAAGGAATATAATAGATTTAATTACAATTGTTCAAATTTCAAATAGTATTAGGCGTATTAATGTTTTTTTCTACGTAAAGTTGCATATGCATTATGTTTTAGCATGTATTGTAGTACATTCGATAAATCGACCAATCGAATCCTATCGAACAGGAAGAGCTTGAATTTGGAGAGGGGGTAAAAGGGAGTGGAGTGCGCGGTTGTCCGGGCGGCCATTGCGGGTACATTGTCCGAAACCGCGAATGCAATTGAGTGCTGAGTGCTACATTAGTGAAATCGAAGGAAATCAAAGGTCATCCTTAGAAGAAGGTGCTCCGTGTGAAGCCCGGGACGCGCACAAAACCCCGGCCCGATGGCTGAATCCGACAAACTTAATATTGACAACATCATAGCTCGGCTCTTGGAAGGTAAAGCTGCTCATTTGCCCTCCTTAAGGGGGGGTGTACTGGAATGAACTATCGCCCGCGTCACCCTTTGTTATACTTCTTCCATACTTTCTTACAACTTGGTTATACATTTTATTTAAAATATCGCGGCTTTTATTTTTCTTGCTATTCTTATACCTTCCTCTTGCTATCTGTTTTCTTTCATCGATTACGCAACTTTCTTTAAATACAACTGATCTTAAATAATTCGAAAGAATCGACAATTGTTTGTTTACAAGGAGCAGGGTTGACAATGCGTAATATGATAGAAATTACCGGGATTTGAGTTAAACTATTGCCTTTACCTTGAACATCTGGTACTACATATTTTGTAATTTGTAATATTACTTTTACAGTCATATTTACTTTAAAAAAATTTTTAAACATATTAATAGATAAAATTAATTTAGTTGACAATTCATTTTAAAGTATTCAACTGTGTTATCATTATAAACGAAATATGGTTTCATATTATGTACAAGAAAATACACACAAATACACTCATTACATATTTAATTCATGTCCCTTCAATATAGTACATACTATTTATATTTGTCTTACAAAATTTCTGTTTGTAAATTTTGATATTTGTTTATATTTAATTATTACAATCGAAAAATAAATTTCATTCTATTTACTTGTATTTAAATTACATTAAAATTCTAGTGCGGGGAGCCAGGCCAGGAAAAAATGTACAACTGACAGAAGGAGAAATAAAAGGACTTTGCCTGAAATCTCGTGAAATCTTTTTATCACAACCAATTTTATTAGAACTTGAAGCACCACTTAAAATATGTGGTAAGATACATCTTACTGTAATTTTTGTGTTACTCTCTTAAATGTGCATTATAGTATATATCTATATAAAAAAAACTTTAAATGTTAAAAAGTGTATTTTATTTTTAAGGTGATATTCATGGGCAATATTATGATTTACTCCGGCTATTTGAATATGGTGGGTTTCCACCAGAGAGTAACTATCTTTTTCTAGGAGATTATGTTGACAGAGGAAAACAGTCTTTGGAGACAATTTGTCTCCTTCTTGCCTACAAAATTAAATATCCTGAAAACTTCTTTTTACTTCGTGGAAATCATGAATGTGCATCCATTAATAGGATATATGGATTTTATGATGAATGTAAGAACTTACATTTAAATGTTATTTATTATGTTTTATGTTATATTTATTATGTTAAAATGTTCCAATCTTAATATTTACATTTTGATATTGTTTAGGTAAACGACGTTACAATATTAAACTATGGAAGACATTTACGGATTGTTTTAATTGCTTACCTGTCGCAGCAATAGTTGATGAAAAAATATTTTGTTGCCATGGTGGTCTTAGTCCAGATCTCCAAAACATGGAACAGATCAGACGTATTATGCGACCAACTGATGTACCTGATCAAGGTTTATTGTGTGATTTGTTATGGTCTGATCCAGACAAAGATACTATGGGCTGGGGAGAAAATGATCGTGGTGTATCATTTACATTTGGAGCTGAAGTTGTTGCCAAATTTTTACATAAGCATGACTTTGACCTAATATGTCGTGCTCATCAGGTATCTATGTCATGATATATGGGATATTTTTAATCTTATCATATTATCAGTTCTTATCTCATCTTATTTAATCAATAACTTTACAATTTATTGTCTTATAAGTTACAAAAATTAGAACAAGTTAAACAAAAACTTAAAAAAATTTTAGGTAGTAGAAGATGGCTATGAATTTTTTGCAAAACGACAATTAGTTACCCTGTTCTCGGCACCAAACTATTGTGGTGAATTCGATAATGCTGGAGCTATGATGTCTGTAGATGAAACTCTCATGTGTAGTTTCCAAATTCTAAAACCTGCTGACAAAAAGAAATTAACATACGGTGGCCTGAATGCAAATAGACCAGTAACGCCTCCACGAGGTGGTGGAAATAACAAAAGCAAGAAGAAGTGAAATCCTTAGATTTGTTACTCATCCCCTCTTCTTTTTTTTCTCTCTTTTGAATGCAACCTTTAGAACTTTAAAATAACTCCCTTAAAACCTACACAGTCTTTTAAGACATTAAGATCTTGTAAAAGAAAAGATGTTATTGTTATTATTTCTCCTAGTATCGCAACTATTATTATCAACGCTATTATTATATTATTTTCAACTTTATCATGAATTTCGCTCATACATTAATGATCACATTTTAAGTAAAAAAAAAAAAAAAAAAAAAAAAAAAAAAGAAAAAAAAAAAAAAAAAAAAGAAAAAGGAAAAAAAAAGAAAAAAATACGGAGGGACATAGTTTGTTAAGCGAAAGAAACAGGAGAAAAGTTCTTCGTTAATAGAACAGTTTGAAATAAATGGAAAAAATGTTATTAAATGGGTGTCTATGAAGAAATTAACAGTAAGTTCAGTTACTTGAAATTAGACTAGAAATTCATTACAGGTATTATTAAATTCTACTAGAAGGTTATATTGTTACAAACTACAAGAACACTTCATGGCAAGTTTATTCTTAATTTTTTGCTTAACATTTTCCTTTATGTTTTCATAGATTAAACAATCTAGAGACCATTCGCAATATCACTAATTCAAAAACATGGCGTGATACAATTGATATAATGTTAGAGGCAATTTTATTATGCCATTCTTCGCTTCAATGGCATGCGTACCTATCTTATTAACGAGATTATTAATATATACATTATATCGAGTACATAGTGGTTTTTTAACGACAAATGTTTCAAATGTGATACATAAATTTGGCTTTGTTACATTTCTGTAAATTGCACAAAATTTGTAAGTAACATACTGATATGACTTTCGTAAAGAGACCGTTTTTGTAGAGTGTGCTTTTGTAATTAAATTTTTATAAATCGCAAAAACAGAATGTTTTAGCTGTTCAGTGAAAATCGAGTTTGAAAAATATTTTTAAAAACAAGAATAAAAAGAAAAAAAGACATATATATATAAATATATATATATATATATATATATATGTATGTATATATATATATACGCGCGCGCGCCCATACCACACACATGCGTGTGCATATATACATATATATATATATGCTATATGTCGTGTATGTGTGTTTATATATGCATACCCATGTGTATATGTATATATGCATACACGTGTGTGTGTATATAAATATATATATACACATATATACACTGACACGTACACACACACACACACACATATATACATATATCCCTTATACTTGTATCCCAAAATAAATTTATGATATACAAAGTGTCGTATCCGTGAAGTTTCTTTAGATTCTTCATGACGTCATCGTGGTTACTAATTTTTGGGAGGGAATGGTAATGATGACACTAATATAAAAACAGACTGTAAATGTGTATAATGGAACTAGCAAAGTTATGCATATGTATACATACGTTTCAAAAAACAAGAAATGTAAAAAGAAACCCCGATTTGTAAGAATTTCATCATGTAAACATTAACGGTCCCTTTTATCGTGAATAATTTGACTAAGCACATATATACACGTTTATATTTTGTTGTCAATCTTGTTCATACTTTTAACATATTCTTTTTCATGTATCATGTAGATCATAAAACTATTTTTCAGTGATGTCATAACTACAAATCGTATATAAGAAAAGATCATTATAAGGTACTGTTCTGTAAAAATTAGCGCAACAACAAACACCACCTGTCATGTCTGCCTCCCTTGTACTTGTACATTGATTTCTATCTTATAAATAAAAGTCTCAAAAAAAAGTCCATTGACCCTTTACTGTGATCATCCATATTTGTCATTTAATCAGTCTTTGATATATCTATGGCATTTCCTGACTTTTTATAAATTCATTAATTCAATCTTCACCTTTTTGTAAAATGTTTCCTACATATTTACCTTAAAAACCACCGGTACTATTAATGATAGTATTGTGATTAATATTGAATAATAAATTTATAATATTTAATTATATAAATCTGTTTTTCTCCATGAAGCACACGGTTTAATTATATTTTAATTAAATATTTTATCAATTTAGATTAACATGAGTTCAAATCTGTGTCAAAATAATAAGTACGGTGATTAGATTCCGTAGTGCTCACAATACAAAACATATATTTATGTATTTGTATTTGTGACTAGTGTTACAATATTCGATATTTTGAAATAAGAAAATTTCGTACATATGTTGCACTATTATGTACGAATTACTAACAATAAACGTGTAGACATTTAATGAATATCGATTTTTAAGATTAATATTAAAACTAAATCGTATCTACTGAATAATTATAGCAATGTAAATAATTATAGAAATTCATAATATAAGTTCAGAATACAATATTTGTATATACCGCATTCTTTTAATTAAGATGACACTATGTAGCAAAGGAACGAAGGTCTTTTTATTAAGGAATAAAGTCATTCTTCTAAACTTATTTTTCTAAATTTCTTCCAAAAAGTATTTTAACTTTCTTTAGAAATGTTATTAATGCAAAATTTAAAATAATGGTTACACTATCTACTTCTCTAAAATTAATTTATAATGCAATAATCGAAAAAAAAGTTATATTTAAAAAATATAATCTGACCGATTTATAACTACTTGTTTATTCAATCATCGTGGTAAAATCAACCGTAAATATCTATTTGCTTAAAAGGAAGAAGCTAGAATAAATGAAATAGCTTTATAAGGTCGAAAAGATTTCCGCGAAAGGGGCACCAAAGGATAACGATGATTATAGAAAATTAAGTTATATCATTGTGACAAGATAGTACGGAATCCGCATTTCATTTTCATCGATTAACCCTAGTGATCTAGCGACGAGGTACACCAAAGACGAGCCTCGTCCCTGAGAATGTACCGTACTACCCCCGAGTGTTTGTCCCGTCTACGAAGACTCCGCCTTTTGGCACGAGATTCAGAGGAAGAGGATGTAGTTAGCATCTCGTGAACGCAAGTTAGCCTAGCGTGGGTGTCCGCGTAGGAGGATCTTTGAGAAACCCCTCCTTCCTTGTGGAAACTTTCCCTTCCTCTCGATCCTCCTCTCCACATTTCTCGATCGGTTTTACCTCAGAGAGAGGAAACCGGCAGAAAGGAGAGGAGGAGATTCCTGTGAAAAGAGAGAGGGCATACATCGGAGAGTGATGTCTCGATGATAAGCCACGAGGTGTAGTCGACTCGGGGGAGTTCTTTCTGATTCATCCGATGCCGCGTTCACGCCGCGGCTTTAAGCCTTGTCAGCGTCCGGATCTCGAGGTGAGGACAAGTCCTGTTGACGAGAGGTGTGAGAGACCGTCGACGATGTCGAGCAACCTCTGATATTCGCTCAGGATCTCGAATCTTGCTGATTGCCTCGAAACGCTTAATGAGCGGTCACGAAAGATAAGCATTCTACAAGTCTCGTTTACCGATTTCTTTTTTCCTCCCTGTGTTTCAACGTCGGCAAACGGTATCCGCATTTCCACGTGCCATCCGATTGTTTTATGCGAACTAGTTCCTCGACCAGCAGG